CCAAAACCCCAAAACCCCAAAACCCCAAAACCCCAAAACCCCAAAACCCCAAAGATGACGATCCAGTCAGATTGAGTTGTTAGATAAATTTATATTCTTATAATAATTGAAGTCAAAATTATAGAGCAGCTTATCTAAAGAAAATGGTAACATACTATTTTACCTCATAATATGCTGATCTAACATTTGAGCCAAATAGATGAATATGAATAAGAATATGCCGCATCAGACCAATTCAGGTCCACCTCCCCAATAAATGGCGATGATGCAGCAACAGCAGCAAATGATGCAGCAATAAATGATGGCAATGCCAGAGGATATGATTGGAGCTATAAAAATCAAAGATGGCCTTTTCATAGGTGATGAGTTCGCAGCCTAGGTATAGTATTTAAAACTCAATTTAATGATTTTAATTTCATATTCATAGGATTTAGAGTTCGTTGTCGCTAATAAAGTGAGTCATATCATAAACTGCGCTGGAAGATAAATACCTAATCACTGGGAAGCCATAGGAGTAGTTTATTTATCATTTTACTGGATGGACCAAGAAAACTAATTATTGTTTGACCAGAAAGATTAAACAACAAAGGAGATTTTTGATTTTATTGAATCAGCTGTCAAGAAGACAGAATCAGTCTTAGTCCATTCAGTGAGAGGCTAGAGCAGAGCAGCTTCAGTGTTGGCTGCTTATCTTATGAGGAAGTATAGGTGGTCTCTTTTGAAGACCTTAGAGTTTCTTAACTCTAGAAGACCCGAGCTTGAGATTAGAGGAACTTTTATTCAGCAGCTCCAAGACTATGAATAAAGACTAATTAAGCAGGGTCTTGGCCCGCTGTCTGCAACTTGGACTGAAATCTCAATGAACAAAGTACCAGGGGGCAATAATGATGCACAGCACGAAGAGCTTATATTGAGAAATACATTCGTCAATGCTTAGATGGGGCCCATTGCTTAGTATTTGGGAACTATTGGCTAAAACATTTAGAAATCTTTCCAAATCAAATGGATTGATGAACATCATCAGAATAAAGCACCGCTTGCTCAAGAAATGTATGATAAACCCCACTCCTAGAGCAATCATAAGAAAATCAAGCACTAATAGCTGAAAAGTAATATGAAAGTAAGTTATTTATACGCATCTTGAGTAATTAATTTTTTATTTTAGGTTAAAACTTAAGCTCAATAAACACCGAACATGAATACTTCAGGATTTAACGCTATTCCAGGAACTAATACCACCTCAACCACATAGAATTCAAGCTAAGCATAATAAAAGAATTCAACTAATGATAAATAATCTAAAGAATTGAATTTTTATCAGTAGTCTGAAAATGCAACTGACAATGGTACCCTTAATGATATGGATGCTACTGATGGCGAAGAGATTATTTTTCCAACTAATAATCATCACCAATTATTAAAAGAACAAAACATTGGTCAGTAGAATAATACAGGCGCCACTTCTGAAAAACAAGGAGCAAATATAAATCACTTCTAGAATAACATTCAAATAGGCAATCTCTAGCATCCTAACAACATAATCACAATAAAAAGCAACATAATAAATAACAATAACATAAACAACTTCATCATCAATAATCCGAACGATCATCTCCCACACCAAAACTTAGCCATGTCCCATTAAAACCCAATGAGTAACCCACAATTTTCTCAACTTTCTGGTTTGAACTACGTCAGGAATCCAGTAACCCAGAACTAGTCCAGTGGGACCAAACCTACCAATAATCTGATTGGAAATCTCGGAAAGGACCAAATTAGCAGAACCAATAACATTGGAAAGTAAACAGGAAATGATGAGCAAGAGTCTTTTACAAAGAATAGAAAAGATCTTCATGCAGGCACGTAAAATGATTCTTATAGGAAAGGTGAAAGTCCATAGAATAGAGAAGGATTACAGAATAAGTCTAAGAAAACAAATCAAAAGGATAATAATAGCATCGGAGGAATCTAAATCGGCCAGTATGGGCCAGGTCTTGGGGGATTAAAAATTCAGAACAATCAAAAAGGGTAAATCAGTTCTAATTTCAATGAGATCAGTGCTGGATTTAGAATGATGACTCAAAATTAGTCTCAAAACTAGGGTTAGCCAGGAGTATTCAGAAGTGGACCCATTAGAGCTACTGCATTTGATTAGCAATACAATAACTTCTAACAAAACAACAATAATACTGATATGCAACTCGCTAACATTGGATTAGGTTCAAATGCCAAATAGAAACAAGGAGGCAGCCATTAGGTCATTTAAGGAAGACCAGGCACAGCTCCTAAGAGGCCAGCAAGTCCTGGAGCACAGCTTCAAACTACAAAAGGGGAAAACAATTCATACACTTTAGGTTCTCTTACTGGCTAAAATGTGGGTGGTATATCAGGAGCCAAGACGAGAAGTGGCAGTCAGAAGCCAAGCTCTGCACCTTCAAAGAATCGTCTAAGAAGCAATAGTCCATCGTCAGCACTATAGTAGCAGCATCAGGAAAAGAAAAATCAAAAGCAGAGCAGCCAGTCCTCATCAATGAACTTCACTTATGGAAATTAGATAGGTGCTAATCAACAGAAAAATATGGTTGGAGCTCATCCACTCTACCGTGGATACTCCCCAAGTAAACCTAAGTGGAAAGGCGGCCCTACTGTTTCTCAGCAATAAGTGACAGCTTAGAACTATACTGGTGGGGGTTAAACAAATTTTCAGCCGAGCACAGCACTTATGTCTGGCTACGCAAGATAAAATAGTAACAAAGCCAAGTACTGAGTGAAGTGAGGAGACTTATTGTTGTGACCTCATTGTATTGCAACAAATATAACTAAATATACAACAATTACTAGATGAATTCACAATATTTTAATATAATCTACTATAAGAAAGGAGATCTTCCTGGCATCAATTTAATATTTGTGCTGTAGTTTAAGCGACTTTATGGCTGGAGAGGATCTCTATCTATATATGATTTATTTATTAATTCATCATAAATAAGTTAAGATCAATTATTTCTATTAAGATAAGCACTTATTACTTCAAACAATATTCTCTCAAATTGGGTTATTGGCTAATGCATTTGTGAAGAATGCAGCTGCAATACGAGTCTAGTTAATAATAGCCAGTTTCATATCATTGATCTCCTTGTCAATACCCTGGATGAACTCAAGGATGAAGTTGATCAGCTCTTCCTTTTTAAACTTCATCAAGTGCTCGTCAGTGATTAAGAAACTGAAGTCATAATTCTCATGAGCTGGCTTCTTTCTCATGATGTAAAACTTGTCTGCTCTGAGGGCTAGGAATCTTTCAAGCATATGGGTCAAGAGCACCTCGATGTCTTGATTTTTCTTGATTGCAATGCTGACTCTGACACTGTTGATGCTTGCCTCAACCAAGCACTTCTCCTAATCACTCTTTGATATTATCAGAGGCTTCATCAATAGCTTGGCATTATCCTGGAACTCGATCTCTGGATGGGTTTGTCTCTCTACTAGTTCTGAAGGAAAGAATCTTAGGTTGAGAGTGGCGTCTAAAGTATCACGAATAGTCTTCAAGTAGTTTGCTAAAGTTTATTAAGCCATTTTAGATATATTTTGCAGATTTATTATAATTCAATCCAACTTATATCTTTCGACAGCGGGGTTTTGGGGTTTTGGGGTTTTGGGG